TTCGTGAGTGTCCACATTTAAAACCTCCATGCAACCATATTAACAATTCAGATCCCATGGCTGCAGGTAGTTACCATTGGTGACATAGTCACCGAGACACTCATCACATTACTACCGATACTAGGTCTCTACAGCACGCAACTTCCCCTGAAAAGCAAAGCCGCCGTCATGCTTGCCTTCTCTACACGGACACCGTACGTCAGCACGCGACCCCACATCCATCACCTTATACCAGCCGCTAACCCCAATGTCGCAGCAACATCGCCATCTCCCTATCTTACCTCATCGCCTCATCCACTTTCATCACAAACAACCACCCACCCATCGCCATCATCGCAACCGTAACCTGGCAAATCGTCCTCTTATCCTACAACTTCATGTCCGCCACCACCCCGCTCCTCCGCGGCTTCACCCAAGGCTTCAAAACAGCAGGAATGTCACTCTTCGACATGCCCAACACCACCAGCGCCGCTGCGAGCGGAGCAACACAAGATAGCGTTGAACTTCGACTAGTCTCGCGACCCAAAATGCTACCACAAGATCTCGCCATGTCAATCAATCGAACCGTGGTGCATGGGGGTGATGGATCGCGTAGGTTGAAAGTATGCAAATGTGGAGGCGGAGAGAGATATCACGATGAAGTTGCTTCGATAGATAGTCGCGGGTCGCGACGGATTATGGTGAGGAGGGAGTGGGAAGTCTCGGATGAGTGAATGGGGGGGGGGGGATACTTGGATATGAAAAAGGAATAGGGCACCTCAGTGTCACTTCGAATAGCCAAAAAAAAATTCCAAAAGAAAACCCATTCATTCATAAATATGTACCCATAAAATCCGACAACATCATATACACATGATACAGACGCAAGGGTATGTCTAAGGCTAAGCAACCAAAACATAAGAGAGAGAGAGAGAGAGAGAAAAGCACATCGATCTACATCCACCCCCCAAGTATTTAAATACCAGAATCAGTCTGCTCATAAGGCCTATTAGCATCGGGCGCGCTTCCAGAAGGCCAATAAGAATCCCACTCATTGCAGCCTTGGGTCATACGACTGGTATCACCAATGGATCCCTTGATCTCGCTCATGCGCTCCATAAACTGCATGGAGAGACCCTGGCTAGCGTGCCACGCGATGTGGCAGTGCATAATCCACATGCCTGGGTTGTCTGCGGGGAAAGCCATGAGCATGTATCCGCCAGCAGGGAGAACAGCGGTGTCGCGACGGGTGGGGTTTTCAAAGTTGAGGTTTGCGGTGGAGCCGTCCCATGTGCCTTGGCCGCGGCCGACGATGTAGTAGTCGTGACCGTGGAGGTGGATGGGGTGGGGGAGTTGGATGGAGGCTGTTGATTGGATCCACCAGAGGAACCAGCCAGTGCCTTCCATTGTGTGGACGTTTGAGTTGGGGCCAAAGTTTTGGGAGCCCGCGAGGACGGTTTCGAGAGAGGGGTTGTTCCAGTCGACGATGTGGGGGGTGCCATCGATGAGCCAGCGGAAGAGGTTGTTCTTGGTGGGGTCCGCGAAGTGCGTCATGTTTAGCTTGTGGTTGACGGCGTCGGCGACAACGGACTGGGGGACGCGGTTGGGGACAAAGGGGACGAGGTTTGAGGAAGCTTCGTCGTCGCAGCTTGTGCGCATGACCACAGTGGTAGTGGAGGTGGGGTTTGCGGTTTCAGACGCGCCATCGTAGTGCAGGATGGCACCCATTTGCTTGCCAGAGCTGGTGATGGCATTTCGGTTACAGCTGGTACCAACAGCGACGCGGAACCAGTAGTTGTCAACGGTTTGGTTGGCGGTAATGACCACGTCGTAACGCTGACCAATCTGCAGAGTCAACTGGTTGGTGACAAAGGTGTTGATAGGAACAAAATCCGAAGTCAGGACAGTAAAAGGGTGGCCATCCATAGATACGCTGAAAACATTGTCAACGGAGGTGTTGATGAGGCGGATGCGATACTTCTTTCCCTTGACAACGTTCATGCGAGCATACTTTCCGTTATCATTCAGAGCGTTGATGTGGGTACCGTTGACAAGAATGTTGTCAGGAAGAGGAGGTCCAGTCCTGGAGTGTTGCGCCACCTCGTTTAGGGTAAAGGCCGGGGTGTAGTACCAATCAGTCAAGGGCAGAGTACCGAGATCGACATCGTAGTTGGCAGTGGCTGGACCATCAATGATCATGGTGCCAACAACACCATCACCGTACTGAGCAGACCAGTGAGAGTGGTACCAAGTTGTGCCGAACTGGGTAGCCCTGAACTTGTACTGACGAGTCTTTCCAGGAGCAATTGGACACTCGGTGATACCGGGGACTCCGTCATCCTGGCAGGAGTTGAGCATTCTGATACCGTGCCAGTGGATGCCAGTTCCGTTGTGCGCAAGATTGTTCTTGACGTTAACAATGATGGTGTCACCCCATTTGGCTCGCACAACTGGGCCTGGGTATTGGCCATTGATGAGCATCATCGGCCTATTACCACCGCTTCCATCAGGGTTCGGCTTGGTGACATTGGAAATTTCAAAGTTGTACTACAAAGTTGTCAGCATATATCTAAGCGGATCAATTAGTATACTTACAGTGACAGTGGTTCCATCCGGAGGTGACTTGGCGTCAAAGTCAGTGGCGATACTGTAGCCATTACTCCAGCAGCTCCTCGTCCTTGGTGTGTTGGTGCAAGCACCATCTTGCCTCTTGACAATCTCTTCAAATGATGGAAAGTCGTCAGAGGCATCCAACGGCTCGGCCCTTAGAGGACTGCTTAGTGCGAGCGAGCCCAGTGAGAGCCAAACCGCTAGAGATTTGAACAACATGGCTGTTGGAATGCAATGTGAAAATGCTAGTAACGAGAGTGTGGTCAATATATGTGTAAAGAAGCTACGACCAAGCCAACGAACGATGAATGAGTTGGAAGCTCGATCGATGGTGAGCATGTATTGACCTGACTGCGGATAGCATTTATACGAAATGTCTTGCAGTACATATCCAGACTCACGTCAGTTAGCCCCTTGCTGTGTCACAAACATTATTCCCTTAAGCCACTTTCTAGGCCATCCTACCTAGGCTAGAAGGCAGGATCAACGAATAGGCACCATAGCCTTGTGTATCCACATTAGTACACGAGCGGGTCATCCTGAAGGCGGCCAATAGAACCTTACTTCCGATCCTCATTCGGCGAACTTTGTCATCAAGGAGCCAACTCAGCCCAGCAGCTGAAGACTAGAAGTGGTGGCGGCGCACTCACGAGCATGTCGGTAGTTGAACAGCAGTAAAGCCAAGAGGTTGAGGTCAAGGTATCAGGCGGCACCCGGGTTGAGAACCGCATTCGGATTCCCAGTTACGGGGTCTGGATTCATCGCTACCTTTGTGGCGGTTGAAACTTACCCGTAGCGGTCAATGATGAGCATGTGGAAGAATTGTAGGATCTTTTTCTGAGGCTCAGAACCCACCGCTCGCGTAAGACGAGGGTCCCTAGCAGGGTGCAGAATCTATTGAAACGCGGGTCGACACACTCCACAAAGTCTTGGTTGGCTGCTGGAGCCTACTGGGCGCCTATCAGGACCGGTGTCTCACGTGAGAAGGCTATCGGTAAAAGGGTGGGGCTTGTGTAAGGTATGCGCTCAGAACGAGGCCGGGAGCATCTGCAAGCCAGGGGTGAAAAAGCACCGAGTTCACCAGGCATTAGCGGATACGGTGTAGCAAGGCTATGCCAGATGCAGTATTGAATGGCGACCTCATGATCCGGCGCTGCGGGAGGCTCCCTCGGGAGGCTGTAACCGGTAATTGTTACTAAAATAGTCATGCGCGGTAGACTTTGGAATGACCACAAGATATTGCAGCCAGTCGCAGGCCATGACGCCATTGCCCAAAGGTTTGACTGTGTAAGGCTGACCGAACAAGAAAAAGGTGGCAGAAGCTATACAATTCGTGGCTTACATGGAGAAGTGGAGCTGTACAAGCAGTCTTACTGTTCGAACAGAGGGCCGAGTTGAGCCCAGGGCCAGGGACACATCAGAATCATTGTCAGCTGCTGTGGGGTCTATCCAGGGCGATTGTCTTGTTGTCGCTGCTTGGCGCCTTGCTGCCGCCTGCATGGTGATCACATAGGCATGATGTGCTCCTTGACCGTGTCAGGGTAGTCCAGACGACTATTCGGGTCTCCAGGCAGTCCAAGTGCGACTAAGAAGCGTGGTGAATGCTAGTACGTAGATTGGCGAGGCGGCGACGACTGGCAGAGCGTGAACTAGTAGTCCTAGCAGTCGTCCACCCACAGCCCTCGTAAAGCTGCCCTGTATGCCCGAATGGACAAGGGCGTAAACGGTAGGAGATGGCAGAATACGGCGAGATAAGGTGGACAAGTGTGGCTGAAGAGAGCGTGTGGAATCGGCTGTGACCGCCCAGGGCGCCATGACAAGCGAACGACAGCTATCAATAACTTTTGGGACAAGGTTGGAGGGTGTAAGCAGCATGGCGGACGTCGGGGCCGAGTGGAGTGACGTGAACAAAGATCGGTCCAGGGGTCGAAGGCGCTAAGCAGGGGCGCCCATCCCGTGTGGCTTCCGTACTAGCTGCGGCATGTCTCCGCCCCCCCACGTGCCACCAACCACTATCCTTTTTTGCGCCCCAGGAATAGTCTCTTGAAGTAAACACTAGCATGTGGATATGCATGGGTCGAGGATCGATTATGCCATCTTTACGACACGCTGTCCGTCTGTTCCGCCTGCATCGTGTCGGCGTCTGCCACCGGTTCGCCTGGTCGTTGCCTAGTCCCAATCTGGACATGGACGACAAGACGTAGTAGCGGAACACTGGTGGTCTGAGCAAACCTACTGGGCCATGCGGTTGCAGTATCTGACTGCAAGAAATAAGCCATGCTTGAAGAATTTTGCTGAGTCTGATAGCCACGCAGGTACAAAAAGAGGCCGTGGCCCTGGAGCTTTCAAGGCCACTCCTCGTGTGGTAATCACTTCTCTCGTTTGGATCCATCTTGCACAATACCGGCAACATGTACTCTCGTTCTATCCTCCTCACTTTGGCGGCTGCTGCCATCCCGCTCGTTAGCTCAGAAGACTCGACCCCAGAGGGCATCTGCTACTCCTACGGTGTTGACTTTGTCGATGAGGGCCAATACTTCATCGACTCTCAATCCACCGAGGCTTTTAGTGCTGTCTCCTACTTCCAAGGCTGCAACGAAGACAAGGCAGATGTTCTTCTCGTTGCACCCGAGGACACGCAGGGGGAGACTGAGTTCTTGTGTGACGAGATCCTCACTACTCCTGCAGACGAGAACAAACTGTCGACATGTCCCATCAAGAAGAACCAGATGACCTCTGGACACTGGCTTCTCTTGGTATTGGGCAACAACGGCAAAGGTGGTCAGCCTTTTGCATGGCAAAGAGGTACGTCCCATACATCCTTCACCCTCCAACTTGATGCTAACTATTCTAGATCTCTACTTGACTGTGGGCCCACAGGTCACCACCACCTACACCCCAACAGTGACCATGTCTGTCATCACTACGCCTACAATCACTCAGACTGATATCACGACGTCGACGGACACTATTACTGTCGGTCCATTCTCGACTGTCACCATGCCCAGCGGAACGGCCAAGAAAATTAAGACTATCACCCCCAAGGCAGTCACTACCACATCCACCAAGACTATGACACGAACAAAGGTCTCCACCACGAAGCAATTCGTTTACACCACAAAGACCGTCACTCCAACCTGCACCAGCCGACCCCACACTGGCAAGCCTGACAAGCCCTGCGAGTACTCGCCTACCAAGATCCACCCTGCAGCGTTGGTTACACCTACAGTCATTCCTCAAGCCCGCCGCTGGGCTCCCAGGGCTGATCGTGTGGCTGACGTTGAGTGGGTTCGTGCCCGCATCGAGGCCGCAAAGCAGAAGCGCGAAGCGGCCAAGGGCCTCAACCGCCGTGCACCTGATGCTCCGACCACCACTGTCACTTTCCAGACGCCCATCTCCACAACCCTTACCCAGACTGCCGCAGCCATCACTACCACCGAGACTGTGCTACAATCAACCGAGGTCACCTCGACGATCCCTCCTCCTACCGTTCTGTCTGGTATTCTTACCAGGACGACTACCCTGCCTACCCCTACTAAGACCAAGGTCAAGTTCAGCTTCACTACTACCACCACAACCAAGACCTATGGCGCCACTTTCACCAGGACCACGACGGCACCTCCCGCTCCTTCAGTGACTGAGTGCAAGAAGCACGGTGGACACTACTGGTGGAACTAGACTGGCTAGACTATTGACCGACTCTTTTCCTGTTTTTACTGTTGTTTACTGAGCGTTCGTTGCTTACATGCATTACGATATACTGTACATAATGACCCGAAATACCAATCCAATGATAATCTCTATGCTCATCCACTTCAAACATGTGCCTGTGTTAAGCGCCCTTGTTTCCCTGCGCGCTTGTTCTGCATTGTCCCCAAAAAGTAAGCAAAGCCACTGTATACATGCTGTGAGGCTGTACTATCCCGGGTAGGCAACCTCGCCTCGCAAGTGCCCTGCATTAGTATCTCTCAGCTACGTCAAGCTGAAAACGCCAAAACGGTCTCGTAAGCGAATCCTCAGCGAATCCTATGCCGGCTCAGACGGAATATTCTACCGCCTCGGGGACCAACAAAAAAAGATACGGATGCCTTGTACCGGTCAGCCTTGCCCCCAAAGCAATGCCCCATCCATGCTGACGCCTTGGGACCAGGGCCGAGGTATCACTGCCTGCTGCTAATACTGTACGTTCCATCCCACCCACTCCTCCGCCCCACGCACGCGACCAGAGTCCTGGCTCACGGGTACACGGCTTATGTCGTTTTTTCCCTGTCTTAACAGACCCAGCACTTGACACGACATGGCCGCCTTGCATCTCGCTTCTGTCCAACAAGAGTGAAGAACAACGGAACAACACGAGAATCACAGCCAGCGTACTAGGTGCACCCTGGCGCCCCTCTCCATCGTCGAGCAAAAAGACAGGCTGGCAACACGAGAGCGCGTGGGTCGTGCTGACGCTCGCGCGCGCGCCATCATCGTATCGGGTACGCATGACGTTTGCAAAACAAAAAAACGTCGCAGCGCCTCATTCGCTGTCCTGTCTCGCTACACAAAATGAGAAATCAGCATGTGCAAAGTGGCTTACAACCCCAGAAAAAAAACCAATCTTTGATGCAATTCCCCCCAAGAAAAAAAAGGGGTGAAAGCAAGGGTAAAAGTAAAACAAAAGATAGGCAAAAGACTAGATACTCGAGTCGAAGTAAAGTTCCAGATCGCCGGCATGGATCTCTGGATCTCCTCACCGACGTCCGAAAAAAACCGCACATCCTTCCGTTTCCCCACTGCCAGGCCCCTTGCTAGCGAAATGCCCTATTCTCGTCGAATCTCCATACCAGCCATGTGTGCGCGTCATGGGTACCTCTTCCGGTCGTAGCACTTGACAAATCTCAAGGAAAGAAAAAAAAACCCCTCGGGTGTGGATTTCACATGAAAAAGGGAATCAGCGTATAGTATTATGAGAAAAAAAGAGATCGTCGCTCTGGTCTGACACTTGCAAAAGAATTGGGTACGCCCAACAAACAAGCGCAAAAGTCCAAAATAACATTTTTTTTCCCTTACCACCGCGTTCCTGCGTTCACACCGGCGCTGCATGACCTACTCGCAAGCGCGTTCGCATCCGAAAGAGTAAAAAGGCAAAAAAATCGGCGTTCCTACATGGGCATTACGTGTGGTGTGAGGTCCCTCTGTCGCTATCACTCTGTATCGGTGTTCCTCGCTGCACATATCTACGCCTCCATCAGCAAACTTGCCAGGGGAGCTGCTGCCTTTGGCACCGTATCGCATCGTACCGTATTGTATGCCTTTTTCGTTCTACCTCCTTGGCTTACCAAAAATGGCCGTATGACGTCCATGCCCAGCCAATACTCCTCGCCCCTCTCTCTCTTCTTCTATTTTCCCATCACGATGTCTTGCACAGCTGGCGCATAGCAGCCTCCCAATGAAACTCGCAGAACTTGTTTTTGTCTCCCCTTCGCTGTCTGTCTGATGTGGCTGTAGTAAAGTCTTACGGACGCCTTATCAGACATGGTATAGAAGTATGCAAAGCAAGGATAACCAGTAAAGCTTGCGATAGGATAGGGCTTAGTCAAGTGCCCACACCCCTTCGCCGGGCTATTTTGTTGTTCGCTTTTGGTAGCTTGCTCGCTACCGGGGAAGAGCGAACGTGGGATTGCATTCCCTGCATACGCGCGATCCAACAGTATGCTGACATGTGGATTCTTGCCAACTCCCATTCGAATGCAGGCGCTTTTCTTGGGAAGGGGGGGGGAGCAATGTAGAGTAGTATTGGGAAAGCGCATGGTAAGACTTGAATACTACGTAGTATTCTCAGCAACTAGTACTAGCACCGTCCAGAAACCAAAACATCTTCCGTCGCTTATTCTTCCCGCATTGACCTCACCGTCGCCCTGTTTCTAGTCATTTTCCCCTTACGAGTCGGACACCGAGATACACAACTGACACACGCACACATAGACATGTTCACACCAGTTTTACTCTCCCCAAACTTAATCTCTGCCGCACCCGCTCTTTGCCACCGCAACGGGCGTTCAAGCACAAAAGTCAGTGGCGTTAAACTTTCCGTCTCAATAAGGTCTTAGACTTTCGGCATGTCGCACGCCCCTCCCAAGCCCTTGGTCTCAAACTAGCAGATACGGGGATCGATAGCACCGGGCGAGTGCGCGTGAGAAAACCAAACCAAGTCAAACCATCACTGGCAAAGCTTCGGGACTTTGATCGTGGCACTAACTGATACGAATTGCCAAGCCCCTTACCTCAAAAAAACACCATGGCTATCGTATCTTGTCACTATGCGGAATATGCGAAATCCTCAACCTCCATGACATGACTCAACCTTCCCATTCTCCCTCTGCTCCCCCCCCCCCTTCAAACACACACACAATACTATTGCTATATTCCTACACTGCACCGCTATCCATCCTCCCACCAAACCCCGAGTACATCCAATCCCCGTAATGTGGATCCCCATTACCTAACCCTTCAGGCCCCCTTATCCTCCAGTCCCATCCTCCGATCTCCACAACTACCGATGCGTCCTCCTCTTGCTACCCACAACGCCAACGTCTATCCTCACCCTTACCCTTAACCATGACGTTGAGAGTAGAAATGTACCGGTGAGTGTGGAGTTGGCACCCAAGAGAAAAAAAAATCTTGTAGAAAAGTTTAAAAAAAAACTATACATAGAAATTTCTGCAGATCCTTGAGAAACAAGAGTCCAGCGTAGGTAAACTCAGCTGGCAGGGTATGTAACTGTGTTAGAACGGGGATGTCTTCGTTTGATTTTTCTGGTTTGGGATCTGGGCGACAGGGCTGGGTGGGGGTGTTATGTGGGGAGGGCGGATGTGGGTCTCTTGGGCTGTGCGTGGTCAGGTGATTGGGAATTGGAACTTTGTGGGTGCTGAGTTGGGAGGACGGCAGTTGAGATACGGTGTAGTTGAGGTATGATTGCGCTTGATGCGGTTGATGATGAGTCGGTGGCCGTTTTTTTGCTGAGTCGGGGTGTGTGGATTGGAGGGAGTGAGGTGTCGGACGCCACTATCTAGAGATCTCAGCTGGGAGTTTGGTGAGTGGGTAGCTATTTTCAGTAGAGCAAATACATGATGCATGCGGTTGTCTTGGGAAGAGGCGTTGTAGCAAGTAGTGAATTTGCGACTTGGCAATAGAAGTGGATCAGCATGAACATACGATGCGATCGTATGAGACGGCAGTGCCATTGTGACTAATTCGTATCCCGAACCGAAAGCTGGTGCATCGAAGTCTTTTAGGTGGCAGAGAAGCAATGAGCCTTTTTCTATTGAGGTAATGAGAAAGAATTAGTCCTGAGAGCTGCGTTCGACAGAGTTATGAGTAAGCATATGCTTATCTTCAATACCGGTTCTAGGCCTCCACTTCCCATGTCAGTGTCTGCCGATCTGCAAACTGCATGATTGTCCAGGAATTTGTACCCCCAAAACCACTTGCGCTCATAGCAAACCACTGTCCTTCACTTCCCTCAATGACACTGCTCCCTTCCATACTGACGTCTCCCTGCGCACCATTTCCCCTCTTTTTATTTTTGAACGCATCTTTGCGGATAGCAAGGAAGATACTGCGAATAAAGGTCGGAGGTATAAACCCCCTCCAGCGCATGACAACCATATCACATGATCCAATACCTTTGCCAAAATCTGGCACCTCATATCTTGATAGATGATGATTTATGTCGTCCCCTTTTTGGATGCGCGGCGAATCGAGACTGAGCATGTGGAGGTATTCCAACAAGCCCAGCGTATCTTCCTCCGCGTACAAGTCTGCAAGGTCGCCAAGGGAAAAGTGCGGCACAAGCACCTCCCGCGAACTCGACTGCTCAGGTACAATGTCATGTAACCAGGGCGAGTGTTTCGAAATGACTTCTTTTCCTTCAGTCAGCGACTCCGCAGACGAAGGGTTGAAGTTGTAAAATAGCCATGTAAGCGAACGATCAAGAACATTCTTGCATGCCCATTCTAGTCTTGAGAAGCCACTCTTGCCATGCTTAGCCGAATTGGCGCGCAAGTCATACTCGACGATCCACCGTTGCTTTTGATGTTTCTTTCCGCCGTCCTCAATCGGTGTGCCATGCAAACCACATCGTTCATACGTTGGGCGCGTAAGCTCCATGCGGAGGATACCCTCGTATAGTTCAAAACGATCATCGACAAGCGGCCGGCCTTCACTTAACATCGCAATGTTTCCTTGCTTGATGTACCCGTCCAGGAATTCTTTTTCCAAGATTTCTCCGAGCTTCATATGTACTCGCGCATATTGTGCTCTTGCTGGGCCATCACTCCGCTGCAATCCATCTCTTAAAATCTCATAGATCTCTTCTGGCAGTATCAGGTCGAGGGTGTGGCTGTATTTTTGCTTGTTCAATGCAGAGAATGGCTTCTTTTTGGTGGAGACATTTTGCGGATCAACATAGGACGGTAGAATGCTGTGTGAAAAGTAAACCTTGGTGTCCTGTGCGGGATCAGGACGGTGGATATCAAGCATTTTGTAGCCTACACCAAGGCTTGTCTTGGATATGGAGTGTGAATGACGGCGTTTGGTGTCTTGATAGTGCGTGAATGTGGGGCGGTCGCGTCTATTGCGAAGAAAACGCGCTGTGATTAGCGCGGCGCGCTAGCATGTGAGTACCCCACAGTCAACTTCACCCCACTTTGCACCTCTTTGGAATCATCGAACTTCAGTAATCTGTTCTTCTCACATACTCTCGACATCAATAGATGAAGTAGGTGGTTACAAGTCAATTAATCGCCAGGATTGCAGCAGTGGAATTTTCACCTCTTCCGCCCCCAGTATCAAAGTCAGATTGGAGAAAAGTACGAGAAGAGAATCAAACCTTACTAGTAATCCTAGTTCACAGTGGAGAAGATTTTTGAATGCATCTACGTTGCGGAGATTCTTTTTCCATTCAATGACTGACCAAAGAACAGAAATTCTTCTTATGCTAAAAGAAAGTAAAAAAGAGAATAGAATCGCCAACGTTCTGCACTGCCCAAGGTCACGACCGCGTTGAGCGCATCCTTGTCCTCCTTCCAGCCTGGCGGGCTGCAATCCTTTTGCTCGGTTGTGGCTTATCGACTTCATGTTGGTGCGTAAACCTGGTGATGGCACATATTGAACATGGCCTATCAAACTGCTCTGGATGAGCGTCATGAAATCCTCGTGTGCGGTAAAGTTGCAAAGCCAGGGCTTCCACATCGACGCGCAAGACCCACGGTGATCTGTTGCCTCTAATTCGATTTGAGACGAGGGCAGAAGGTGAGAGGTGGTACTGCCTTACCACTTCGTCGGTCGTCTGCGCCTGTTACTTAGTCATGTGACTTTTACGGGATCAACTTGAAGGAACGCATACCATGGTTTGACGGTAAAAGCAGTCTCCGCAGGCAGTGAGAATACGATTGACTGTTCGAAAGGGGTAGCAATCAAGCGTTGCCTGACAATAGACACACTTGCGCGGAGCATGTTGCAGCCATAGTCGCCGGTACACGATGCCACTGAGGTCCGGATAGACACAATTGGAACCATACTTATCAAGATGGGCGAAGGGAAGGTTGAACATGGTACTGTTGCATCGGCGGACCAGATGTGCACAGTAGCTTTCGACTAGCCTATGACATGCCCGGGATGTTAGAGCCAGGGCATTGAAGGGGTGTGAGACTAGGCACAAGGAGAATATATCGACAGCCCATCGATCAGCATCTGCAGGCTGAGTGAGATCCTCTTTGTCCTTGATGCTGCGTTTTTGCTTCTCGGTGAAGCCGTGTTGGCTCTGAGCTTCAGTAAGGCCTGGTAGACGACAATGAGGGTGGATGAGGTCTGATAGTATGCGGTTGACTATCTCGACTGGAAGCGTCGCTAGCCTCGCGGGGCAAGGTATACAGTTTGTCTCGCTCAACTGACCCATAGAGCATGGTTTTGGTGCCCCGCAATGATGCGAATCAGGCGAGGCTATGCGTAACAAAGGCTGCTGGTAGACTGTCACGGCAGTCAAGTGCAACCTGTGGTCAAGTGCAGGTGGACGCTGGACCAGCTCAGTCGCAGAAGCAGCAAACAAAGTCATGATGAGCGATAGAAGCAGGATGAAGAGTAGGAGGCCTCGCAATTCTTGTTCGAAAAGCTGAATGCCTTATACTTGACGATACACGAAGAAGTCACATGTAGTTCCGTAGCTGCATGCCACCAACGAGCATGTCAAGACGGCAAAAGCTGCATATCCTGGGCTGTGATTTGTCCATATTTTTCCAGTCTCGGACGGCTGCGTGCATGGATACAGCTCGTACGAATAAATCCCTTGCAAGATGCTGCATGCTGCAGTGGCATGAGATTGGCGAAGGAGACGGCGACGACTCTCCGCGGCGGTGCATCGGAGGAAGAATGGCGTGCAAACAACAATCAAAATGCGGCCATCTCCGTATCGCCTAAATCGGCCTAGCGCCAAGGCTCCCCAACTCACCCATCTGACCACCTTTTCTCCTCCACTCTCGCCGAGTTACTTTGGTTGGTAGTGAGCGCGCACGGGAAAACGACATCATGGCTGCCCACGCCTCAGAGGGACCCGTCGCTGTCCACGACTCCGCCCCGCCCCCTGCTCCGGCTGGCAAGGCGGAACACACAGCGGGGGGCGCGACCAAACCCAAAGAAGAGGACGCGCCTGCGCCTGACAACGACGACGAGGATGGTGGCGTGTGGGATTCGGCTTCGCTGTATGAGGAGATTCTGGATGAAGTCGAAGCCTTCGAGTACTCCAACGACGGTAAGTTTGACCCTGTGTGGCGTTGGCCACAGCCATTGACAGTTGTACAGGCAAAGATGTGTGCACTGCTGACGAGGCGCGCCGACTGCGCCAGCGACTGCACGAGGTTGGCGCCAGCCAGTTCGTCATGGAAAACATCACCAGCGAGAAGATGACGGCGCGCAAACTGTGTACCGCGTTTGGCGTCAGGATACCCAAGTTCCTTGAAGAAGCGCCCGACGAGAACTTCTACCAGTTGCTTGGCCTGGCCATCAACCGCGAGCTCAACAAGCGTCCCCGCCTTGAGCAGTACAAGACCATTGACGACGCTGCAAAACTGCTGCTGGAGCGCAAGAACATCATGGTCATCACCGGCGCAGGCATCTCGACGAGCCTCGGTATCCCCGACTTTCGTTCCAAGAACACAGGTTTCTACTCGCGACTGTTGCAGATGGGCTACGACGAGCCCGAGGAGGTCTTTGACATTCACAACTTTGACGAGAACCCGCGCACCTTTTATGCGCTTGCCGGTGACATTATCCCCGACCTTGAAAAGTGGACGCCTACGCACGAATTCATACGCCTACTCCAGGATAAGGAAAAGCTGCTCACCAACTACACTCAAAATATCGATAATGTCGAAGCACACGCGGGAATACGCAAGGATAAGCTTATCCAGTGCCACGGCTCCTGGGCCACTGCGACATGCCGGAAATGCAAGTTCAAGGTACCGGGTGAGGCCATCTTCGACGATGTGCGCGCACAGCGGCCTGCTGAGTGTCAGCGCTGCAAGGACGAAATCGCAGCCCAACCCAGCAAGAAGCGCAAACGCCAATCCAACGCCAACGGCAGCAGGAAGAAGCGATCCAGCGACGAAGACTCCGAATCCGATGGCGCCTTTGACATTCCCCAGCCGGGCATCATGAAGCCGGATATTACCTTCTTCGGCGAAGCCCTTCCCAATGACTTCTTCGACCGGCTAAAGGATGTAGACAAGGACAAGGTAGATTTGGTCATTGTAATGGGCACGAGCATGAAAGTCGCTCCCGTATCTGAGATACCCAACTTTCTGCCCCGCGACATTCCGCAGATTTACATCTCACGAGATCCCATTCACCACATCAACTTCGACATCAACCTCCTTGGCGATTGCGATGTCGTAGTGGCCGAGCTTGCCCGCCGTGCGGGTTGGCAACTCAACCACAAAATGATACCCGAGGGTCAGTCAGTTGACGTCACTCTTACCGATGACATGGATCATATTTCCACCGTCAAGGCTCGCATCCCAGTGACGACTACGACAAATAATCATATTAACGAACGGGCATAAGCATTAGCCCATAGCCTCTGTATTTTGTGTATCTACGGCGTTATGACTGGCATTACGAGTGGTGTTTTTTCCTATGTTTACTGATCATTTTAGATCGAGACAGGGTCATATCCTGATTCCCGCAGTCAGTTGCTTGATCTTCCATAATGGAAATTCGGAGTAGGGCGTTGTGGTGTGATTGAACATCAAGAGAGAGGTTGTGGGGTGCGGCATGGAAGATACCACAGATCTGGGAGTATTTGTGGAAGAAGATGCTATCATGTAGTCTCCAGCAACTGTATCCCCTTTTATCATACACATAGAGCTTGTCTGGTCTTGCTTTTTTCTCTATGTTCAGGCAGCACACAAGAATACAGGTACAGTCTCTTTCCCTAGACAAGGTTCGGATTGTGTGATTGTTTCTTGTACAATGCATGTCAAGATGGTGTCGAGGTATTGTTGGTGCCTTTGTCTCTCCCATTATGTTACCTAATGAACCTCGGCTTAGCTACAGCAGTAGTGATGCCATAGTCGAGAGGCAAAGCCACAGCCAACGCCACGCCAGTCGCCGCTCAAGCCACACTAAAGCTACAGGATACCCTATGTATTAGCCATTTGAGCTGAGTCAAGATGTCCAGTTTTCTAGATAGAGATATTGTAGTTTATAGACGTTCTCTGCAAGGAAATCACCGCTCGGATATCGGGTTCCCTCAGATCCTAGTGATCCCACAGCCTTAGGTAGCGGATAGATCCTCAACCCGCAGTCGGGTAAACTCCGGATGGGGAATCTTCAGGTTGGATCGATGTGTTTCACTTGCCGCTCAATGCCTTGGACCTTTATCAGTTCCAAGAATCACTACCCAGAATGTCAGATTCATGCGCGCTAATTCACATTGCTGCAACCGTAGCGTGATCCTATTTTCACTAACCAAGTTACGTAAATGACGTTGCAAAGAAGACCCTTTTCTCTAGTCCCGATGTCCGCGCCCTCGTACACGCGTCGCAATTTCACATTGGGCTGATAGGGAAAGGGTGCAGTTGAGTTATAGCTAAGATAGGAGACATTCAGCTTTACTATCACGGACACGCAACCAAGCTTTTCGGTGCAGCACGTCATTCACAAGCGGCCCAAGCCAAGAAGTGCACAGTCCCAGCTGACGACAATATACTCCACACCTCTACTCCACCACACTCTTGCTTGAGCCTCACGTATAGTAGCACAAACGCCTATTTTGACACCTGGTTGAAACGACCATTTGATTACGCGTAGTATTGTAATTGCAGTGCTCTAACTCGCTGACTTAGACATTAGGGAAAATGTGCATTTTACACCACAAAGGAATTTGCTTCAATGCGGCCGATATGTTCTTTTCGCTCGTTGATCGTCGTCAAACTTGCCTACCCGTTATCACAATGCTGATCGCAATCCCAGCCGCCTTCCCCTGCTTTTGTCAAGGATTCGATCGCGAACGCCATTCTTCCACCTTCCAACCGCGCGGTACCTTCTCAGTCAGCACCTAAGATGCAGCCCGAAGTGGCGTGTTTGAGAATATCGTGTTGCACTGGCCATCAATGCCGAAGAGTCAAAGAATGATCACACGATTATTATTTTCGCATCTACAATGAACTATGACATGTCGGTGGAAACACATGCAACACATACACTACAAGTACACAGTGGAATGCACACACTAGGAGACCTCCTACGATTCTACCAGCACTCACTATCCCTCATTAAGAAGGTACGACTGAACAAGTCCAAGCATCAATGCCAAAACACATCATCGTCTTGGCACAACACCTCCGAAACGGGCGTGATCAGGGTGATAAACGCCACCCGCAGCGGGCTAACTACCTCCGCGCATTATGTTTCAAACAAATGAGCATTTTTCGCCAAGACAACCATGAATAGTCCTGCAGCATGGTGATCGACCTTCACTTTACCGTCTTGATAGTCAAAACATGGTTTCAAGGCCGACGCTGAGTAGTGGGGTGATTACGAACCCACTTTATACGCAGATCCCAGTTACGCAAAACATGTTCCCCATGAACAAGACATGCTGTGGGTATTCGAGAACACGTTGGGGAGATGAAGAGGTGGGTACGCCAGTATAAGAGGGACAGCGTAGACGTCCTTCTAGAAAAATCAACTCTCTTGATTGAGCCAGCACGAGTCCTTCACACCCACACTCCTTCAGTCCCTGTTTTCTGTTTCTGTGCTTGACGCACCACCTTTCGCTAGTCGAACCCAATCGCACTCCTTCCAAACTTTCTTTCTCTACACTCAAGACTACTATCAAAAATGAAGGCCTCCATCGCTGCCTCCATTCTGGGTTTCGCCCTCGCCGCCTCAGCCGGCCCAGCTCGCATCTACCCCCGAAACTTTTACACAATGATGAAGCGAGGCTCGCTACCTGTACCCCAAGGCAACGGCACCGAGACTTTCTCTGAACCCAAGGAAATCACCGGTGTCTTTGACGGAGGCCTCAAGACATACGGCCGCGGCGTCTCTTGCACTGGCCAAGCCGAGGGCGGCAACTCTGACGCCGTGTTCCTGCTCAAGGACGGTGCCACGCTCAAGAACGCCATTATCGGCAAGGACCAGATCGAGGGTGTGCACTGCGAAGGGTCCTGCACGATTGAGAATGTGTGGTGGGTGTCTGTATGTGAAGATGCTTTGACACTCAAGGGCGATGGCGATGCTACTGGTACGTTTAAATTCCCCCCCTACTCGCTTCATTCCAGCAAAGAAGAAATCAGATGAAAAAAAGGGTATAAGCTAACGCATCCCACAGTCATCGGAGGCGGCGCCACAGCCGCACAAGACAAAGTCATCCAGCACAACGGCAAAGGCACCGTCACAATCGAAAACTTCACCGTCGACAACTTCGGCAAACTCTACCGCTCCTGCGGCAACTGCAAGGAAAGCGCTGAGCGCCACGTCGTTATCAAGGGCGTCAAAGCCACAAACGGCAAGCTGCTCGCGGGTATCAACTCCAACTTTGGCGACTCGGCTACCATTGATGCGGCGACTTGTGCGACGGGTGTCAAGGAGATTTGCGAGGAGTTCAAGGGAACGACGCCTGGTAATGAGCCGAGCTCTGTGTCAAAAGGCCCATCGAGCGCTTGCAAGTTCTCCGGGTCGGTTGCTGCGTGCTAGATGGCTGCTGTGCGATGGGGATGATTGCTGGAATATGTGTCATCCGCCCAGTCGTGCGTCTTTGATTTATATTTCTTGTTAAAAAGCTTTTTTTTTGCATATTGACTAAACGTCAAAGTATATATACCAAGATTATGTTTTATCTTTCAATATTTGATGGTTACACATTACAGCGATACTAGTCTAAGGTCTAAAGTCTATACTTTTCGGAACTGAAGAGAACAAAACAATCTGCCCCCTCTTTTCCCCCCTTCGGCACGCAGAAATCTCAGTGCAAAAGCAACTGTGTCACCCTAATTTACTGCCTCTTCTTCCCCTTGGGCACACGAAAAGCCCAGTACAAAAGCACCGCCGCCCCAATGTTAAACACAACATACACCCACAAGAGCCCAAAGTCCCTCCACCTCGTATCCCAATTCACGTGCACCCGGCTCAAGAACTGGTTCGTACTATCCAACTGACAGTACCCACACTCCGTAGCATTCGCATCTCTCAGGTAGCCCCCCGCTATACTGATATACTCCGCCATGTACTCCCCACACGTCTGACCCTGCGGCGCAAATAAATTCTGAAACTCATTCTCAGCACAATGCGCAGGCGCCTGTCCGAGCGTCGTAGCCAGAAAACTCGATACAAGATACGTAAACGGATTGACGCGATACATGAACATCCAGAATCCGGGTAGATCATCCTTGCTGGCCAGAATGCCGCAGAAAGCGTACATCATAATCGTGAGTAGTGTCGCGTAGGCTCCTGCGATTTCTTCGCCGGGAGAGCCAGCGATGAGTAGGTGGGCGAGGGTGCTTGCGAAGAGGAAGACGGCGACGATGATGAGGAGCGTGTGAAAACTGCGGATGTTGACGGAATCCGTGGGTTGCGCGTTGCGATACAAGCCTGCGGGATAGTACCAAGCGAAGAAGCATGCAATGGCCATGATGGCGTTCCAGAACATTTCGATGGCGATGTTGGACAGTACAAAGGCTTGCCAGGCGTAGGTTTTGGACTGGCGCTCGCGGGCTTCGTATAAGGTGCGTTGTAAGATCCACATGGGCAGGATTTGGTAGATGAGCTGGATGACGACGAAGAGGAAGATGAAGACGCCGAACATTTGGTTTTGCAGGCCTTGCATTGTATTTGTGCCGTCGATGAAGGAGAAACCGATCATGAGGGAGCAGCCGATGGTTAGGATGGCTTTGGAGTACATGTAGGAGGGGGTGCGCCAGTATTGTTGGGCACAGCGGAGAGCGACGGCGCGGAATTGGTCGAAGAAGGATGCGGCAAAGGCTTGGTGGCTACCTTTTGCGGCGTCCATGACGGCAGAGGGTTGATTGACTAGTTGGCGTAACTTTTCCAGTTCCATTTGGACTTGCTCGAACTCTGAACTGCTTTTCCAGACAGAAGGCCAGTCGATCTCGGTTTTGGCTCCGGGCGCCGCGCCAATTGCCTCGAGCATGTACTCGGCTGGGTTTGCGCCAGGAGGACACGTCGGTGCGCCGTTGCGTTGGAAGTAGTCGAGGAGTACATTGGAGTCGCGTCCAATGTCGCCAAAGTACACTGTACGTCCACCTTTGGCAAGCAGGAGGAGACGGTCGAATCGCTGGAAGAGAAGGGATGATGGCTGGTGTACAGTGCACAGAATTGCTTGGCCATCTCTAGTCAGCTTCTCCATGAGATCACAGATAGACCAAGACGTCTGTGAGTCAAGACCAGATGTTGGCTCGTCAAGGAAGAGGAGTAGTTTCGGACGGGCAGCGAGCTCAACACCAATAGTGAGACGTTTGCGTTCTGATTCAGTCAGTATAGATCTCGGTAATGAAAACACAAAGAGCTGTTGAACTTACGCTCTACATTAAGGCCTGATCCTGGAATACCGACAACGGCATCTGCATACTGTTCCATATCCAAGAGCTGGATGACGTGATCGACATATGCCAATCTCTCTTCACGACCATATTCCGGCGGCTGTCTCAGTAGCGCAGAAAACTCTAGAGCTTCTCGTACAGTCGATGTATCCAGATGAATATCTTGCTGCATACAATATCCAGTTTGTCGCTGGAAGGATTCGTCTCGTCGTCGGCCGTCTACGAAGATATCACCGCCGATGACACCCATTGTGGTTCGGCTGGCCAGCACGTCAAGTAGTGTAGTCTTGCCTGCACCAGATACACCCTAAGTAGTTGTTAGCTGGATCCTGACCTCCTGTGAAGATATACATACCATGAGAGCTGTGAGAGTGCCGGGCTTGATGTATCCGTCGACATCATCAAGAATCTTGCGCGTTTCGCCCTTGATCTGCACTTCATAGGTAACCTTTTCCCAGTGAAAGATTGAGACCTGCTCCTGCACTTCCCGATTAGAGCTGTTGCTGCGGCTAATCTTCTCGCCTTCATGGGCAGTTGCACCGCCCGCCTCTTCGTCTGTGTTTTGACGCTTGGCCATCTTCTTCATCTTAGATCGACGGAATACCAGAACCTCGCCCTTGGAGCGCTCAGAAGCAACCATTTCGCTCATAACCAGATGGATGACGAATAGTCCGAAAGTCATGACCACAAGTATGCCATAGTTTCGCCACCGCTCGCTGAATTTATATTGGAATGCAGTCTCGACGTATGCGGTACCACTGACAAATCCCTCACCAGGTCGTGAACCTTGAACGGCGCATGCTCGCTGCTCCAGTGTAGCGTTCTCGTAGGATGGCCCGGATGGAATGAATAACGAACAGGCAAACGATCGACCGTTGAACTCATTGCTCATAACGCTCGAAAATCCATACGATACGGGGTTGATGTGTCGCACCCAGCCTATCCATGACTTCATATAAGGAACGGGTAGGGGAAAGCCGGTGTAGAGAACCAGCATCAAAAGGATAAGAGAACTCGGTGCGAAGGCCTGTGCGAGAGTCTTGGTCATCGAAGCAAGCAGTCGGAAGAACATGCTCATGGAAAGACCAGTAGTGAACCCGACGAGAAGGAAGAAGAAGAATGAGCCGGCATCTCGACGGAGGTTGGCCATGAAGTAGAGTGTGGTGTTGACGAAAATGCAGTTTAAGACCTTGTACGGAATGTCCACGATCATTGAAGCTAGTGCTTCTGCGCTGGGATGATATAGCGCATAGCGGTTGTGCTGAGAAAACTGTCAACTCGCAGTATTTATAGATAAGTAGAATGACATAGCTTACCTTCTCAACGATCGTTCGTTTGGCATAGAGATTCATAATCTCTAACATGCTACCGAAAGCGTTCAGTATGATCTAGAACAGTGAGTAAACATCTTCATCCATACATCAGAAGGGAGGTGGACTTACGACCATGAATATGACTCCTCCTCGCTTGAAGAAAGATGCAGTAGTTTCGGGCAAGTTGAAAAAAATACTGGCGACGATGATTGCTTCAGTAAAGTTTACAGCAAGCATTGTCAACGAGACACTCGGGTCGTTCTTGAGTCTCTGCACATCTCTCCACATACAGAGACGAACCTGCCTCCAGTAGGAAAGTGTATATGGCGAGTTCTGGCGCTGCTTGCTAGACTTCTCCTTCGTCCTCGATAACGCGAAGAGATTACGCTGTTCGCCTCGGAGTGGGTAGCTTTTGTCAAAGTCTTCGATCGCCCTCAACAGCTGCTGTCTTTCGGGACTCGTCTTCCAGCATTGTGCAAAGTCATCTGACGTGCGGGGCGTTCTGTTTTCGAAGCCTTTTCTGATACGGCGCTCAGAAGGAGACGTCATCGAAGTCAGAAAATCCGGGGTAGTCTGTGACGCAGGACATTCGAAGCCAAGGCGCTCAAAATAGGCACGCGCTTCGCTTGCTGGGCCAAAGTAGATCTGGCGACCCTCATAGAGAACTGTCACCTTATCGAAGAGCTATAAACAGTCAGTATTGTTCTAGCGATGGTCACGCGGGAATGCATACCTCATATGCAGCTTGTGGAGCTTGGTAGATGGCAACACAAGTAGATGTGTCAAAGACGTCGCATTGTGTTCTGAGCGTCTTACAGAACTCGACTGCGTTTGCAGAATCCAATCCACGTGTAGAGTTATCCCACAGCTGCAAAGGTGCAAAACTGAGAGAAGCCTCAGCGATCGTTACTCTCTTGCGCTCGCCACCACTCACACCTCGCACAAAGTCGTTACCAACGCGGGTGTTGACTGTATGCGAGATTCCATACATAGCCATCACAACCTTGAAAGCATTAATAGGGGGCTGTCTATTGCTTTAGTAAAAGGACTTACATCGCGGAGGTGTTCAGCGTAGCGTTCCCTGGTGACGCCACCAGGAATCTGACGCGGGGCACGGGCAAGAGCAGCAAAATAGAGTGTATCGCCAACACTGAGCTGAGGAAAGTGGGCGTCAACCTCTGCCGTATAGATGGCCTCTCCTCGGAAAGAAGTGTTCATCTCTTTGGCTGGGATGCCCTGATAGTTGAGGTGTGACTCAGGGCTAACTTGGAAACCATGAGTCTCACCCGCGATAGTCTTGAGTAATGTAGAACATCCGGATCTGGGATGTATTAGCTGTGATCTCTAATGAAAGATATAAGCTTCAACCTACCCTGGTGGGCCGAGAACACATAGTTGTTCTCCAGGTAGTAGCAACCCATCAAGGTCGCGCAAAATCTCAATCTTCTTGGTGCCTTTTCCAAACAATGAAGGCAGCTTGAGTATCATATTGCCGACTGTAGATTGAAAGTCTGTAGGGGATCCCATGCCCCATACGTTGAGATTTCGAAAGGCAACCCCTGCAACACGAGGAATCGTTTCTTCGCTGCTGTAGCGCAAATTGTAGAACGCCTGGGCCCAGTCCTTCGCACGAAACTGTTCACTCTTGGGATCTAGCCGTGGATGAACATTATCAGACAAAGGCGATCCCGTCGCACCGTGTTGCCCTGATTGTGAGGTGAATTTGCGGACGAGTTCATGAACTTCACGGTCACGTTCTGTCTCAACGTGAATATCGGTTGCATGATGTTCGCTATTCAGTGTGTTTTCGTCTTCGGTGATGGTTTTTGCTTCTATGAAGCCCGGTCCGGTTGGCATGTTAGTGAACAATCACAACGCGAGTTGGCGCTGAGTAAATGGGTGAAGCTATTGTTCGTATAGTTGTCTCGAGGGCTCTTGATGTTGACATGGATATCTAGATGGCGACATATATATGAACATACAGCTGTTTCCTGGTAGCGGCAACATGTGGTCTGCCCTCAGCTTTGGTTGTCGCAACAAAACCCGAAAGTCCATGATGCCAAGAACGGCCCACTATGATTGCCTGAGATGGAATTGGCATCTGCATCATCTCGGTCTTTTGAGATCTCTCTCTACTAGCAAGTGGGTCAGATGGCCAGCGTCAGACATGCAACGGCAGTGGTTCCAAGAGGCTAGGCCCCCTAGCGGGTAGTTGTCATTCGGACATTCGGACATCGCGGTGTCCGAACTTGCGACTATTGCCAAACTAGGCTGCCACCCTGTTGTCCACCCCATCACCCTCGCATCCACGCCCATTCCGAATCCGAAGAAAACTCAGGGTTTCCGGACAATAGACACACGCGCATAGAGTTCGATCCACACGCCCGAAACCCGGTAAAATATCTGCAGCAACGGCCACTAGTAAGCAACGACGATGAAACTTGCCGTACGTGTACATACGCTGCGACTACAGGTTGCATTCCTCCACTGACGCCCTAGCAAAGTGTCTTCGCTGCAAGCGCAAGAAAATAAAATGCGACAGAGCGGATCCTGTATGCCGACAGTGTGTGACTGCTGCGGAGGAGTGTCAATATGTCGAGCGCCGCAAAAGACCTCGCGTTGCACAGCAGAAAAATGTTATGGAGTACTTGAGTCAGCGACTCGAACAGCTTGAGAAGCATGTCAGTACCTCGGGTGAACCGGATTCATCGCCTGGCTCTCTCCCAACACCGCAGCGGGAAGTATCACAAAGAACACCACCTTTGTCGTCTCCCGAAGCCCCCTTGACTCTGGCAGATAGTCAGGAATCATGGGTAATAGAGTCCGACCACAACACATCAATCACCACTGTGGCTGACGGTGACAGATTTATCGACTTGCTACTGACACGCGCCGGAGCTTCCAAAACCAAGCCACTCCGGTCAACACCCCAGGACCAAGCATAAACAATGCCATGTTATCGCTCAATGATGCTCTTGAAGATCTTGGTAGACTGAGAGTGCGTACCCAAGCTCACCATGTTGACTTTGATCTCTCGCCTGCGAGATGTCGAGAATGTATAGATACCTTTGTCCATGTAGCGCACTCGATGGTTGTGCCGGATGTTTCTCTGGGTTCCATGGTTGACCTCAGTGTTTTACGCTCGCTTCCAGATGTCATCAACTCTCCTTATATCAACGTCGACCCTGGAATGCGTGTTCTGTAGTAAGTATCTCAGCATGCATACCCTTTTTGAATCCGGCGTTAACTTCGTGTGCTTTGATCAAGTTACAACGCACTATATTATGGGTTGCAGGATACTGAAGGACCGGGAGCTGAGGTGACGATGAAAGCATACATGAAAGTCCTCGAAAGTGTACCAGCGTGGCTTGAGTCACCAAGCAAGACTGATATGGACGGATTCACAGCCTCTCTTATCACTTGGACCTGCATTACCATGCACGACTATCCGCTTGCCTGGAAATTTCATTGCAAGGTATGCCAGCACCTCATGTCCAACGGCATAGACCAGCTCGACAGTTCACCAGCAAAATCGTTTACCGATGAAGACGAAAGAGACCGCTATCGATATATTTATTGGCATACTTTGTGCAGTGATATCGCGTTTCGCTTGTTCTTCGGGAAACCAAAGGTCTTGAGATGGGTGCCCAACAAGATTCGGCCACCACTTACCTTTCGTGGCGACAATATGCACCCATCCGCTCTTCGTGTCACAATTGGCGTCGTGTGGGTACGATACACGCTCTTGGCTGAAGAGTTGATTGGCTATGTCGACAAACATGCGTCGAATGGCCGGGGAGATGACCTCTTCAAGAAGGCCGACGAATGCTGCACACAGCTTGAAAGCCTCGTTGCTGAGTGGAAGCTTGAACAGCTCATGAATGCAGAGGACACTCCTATTGACATCCGCTGTATGCTTGCTGATCATACCAGTATGTGGCAAGGCTGATTGCGAGTTAGCCATGGACGCTAACAAAAGTCTAGTGAATATTTACACCTATATAATTGGAATACAGAGGCTAGTTCAAGCGGCCGTACGGGGAAATTCCGCCACAGCAGTTAAACCGAGTCCATTTGCTGTTCGAGCGTCTCGAAAAGTGTCCAGTATCATCCTCGACTTCCATACTGATCCCACCGTGAATTCAAAGTCTAAGAGCATCACCAATCAGTAAGTCCATCAATACTGACTTCTTCTTTGCGGCTCGAACGATTTATACTCGTTGAAGTAGCTGACCTTTCTCAGTTTCATCACATTATACCCCTTCTGCGTAGTTTTCACCCTTTACGAACAAATACTCGCAACATACAACCCCGATGACTGCGAGGGTGACATGCAGACACTGGAGAGTATTGGAACAGCTATGAACGAGGCGTCTACACAACGACGAGACTTGGTACCATTTGTCAAAACCGTCGATGCACTAAATAGAGTATCGCGGACGTTGCAGGAAGAGAGGCGCAAAGAAATGGTTCCGACAATGACAAGCAACGCGAAGTACACCAATACTCCAGTGCTTAATTACCAGCCAACAAGTTTCGACACCGTCCAAAATCTGGTAGCTACCGAGTTGCCCGACTTCGACATGTCAACCTTCAACATGCCTGGGTATTCTGCGAATGCTGAAGGCGACTTTCAATCCCTTGGATTGTTCAGGGCACTAGAAAATGAATTTGTTGCACGAAATTGGCAAAGCAACTGGTGGGATCTTAATGGCGGCGCGGATGAGAGCATGAATCAAACAACTGCAAGGTATGAATGGGTATCTTCCCGCGCGACATGTCCAAAGACAAAGGCTAAAGGCGATCTAGCGGTGTACCCCAAGTGTCCAACATGGGTTATCCTCCAAGTGTTCCCGGAAATATGATGTAGTTTTCTAACTGACGAGCCTTAAATTATTGGGAGTTCAGGGTCACTACGTGCCACCCGACTCAGCAAAGTCGATACAGCAAAGTCGATGGATGAGGATGCAAATTCACATGCCCTATGGTGTTTTGGTCTTGGCTTGGCGAACTGCAGGATTGCTACATCCATTGTGTTTGTGGATGGCGCAGAGGCGTTATGGTTAGATTCCAAGGTTTCCGACTCTCTGCTCGTATATTTTCTTCTCCTTCATTCCGATTCTGTTGCGCTAAGACAGCAATGCGACATGAGGCTGCCTGCCGACTAATGTTGCATCAAGCAAGCCTCACATGTCTGTCACACGGCACGTACTAGCGACATGCATTATCTCTACCAATGAAATTCTTAGCAGCGTTGAGTCCTTATCACGCGCATGCATATGCGCCGGACTAACCTCTGCTTTACAAGACCCAGCAAACTTTGACGACCCATCAACTAGACACGCAGTAATAGCAAACTCCGATCGCATTAGACAACAAGCTTGAAGATCAGCATGGCTGAATCAACAGTCTGGATTAGTATAATGCGTAAGACATGTTGGTCATGCATGTGAGTGGTCAGAGACGTCGGTGGCTCTAGTGCACGAGGTCTCAAAAGCAACACAGAGCCAATCATTAATGACGGCGGTAGGAGCGCTACATGCAGACCTAATCTCCTAGCGTAGTCGGGGGCTATGGCGCCATTTGGATGCCAGAATCAAGGTTACACAGTGGCAGCTTCCCAATGTCAGTTTTCGGAGCTTCCGCCGAGCAGAGACAAAAGAAAAAAAACAAGTCGTAGCATACCACTCTAGGTTTTCGGTTAGCAAAGCGCGGTAGGCGTGCATAGCGGCAACGTATTGTTGAAGAGGCATGTTGAGGAGGCTGATATGATCCACTTGTGCAGCTCTACACGCATGCGTGTGTTTGCGCTTTGTCTTTTCACAAAGCCCCGCAAAATCTGTAGAGGAAAAAAGAGATTCCATGTAAATTTCCGAGACATTTGAAGGCTGAGAAGGGTTCAGGGTGCGGATAAGGCGTGCAATCCTCCCGATGGCGCAATGAGTATCTTGGTACGTACACGTGATTCGAGATGGGGACGTGCCTTCATTTCCGGTAATCACCAATCTCGTATTAGGAAATACATAGATCATTTATCAATCAAACATGAACTGTACGCACGTAGTTGAGGGAAATTCGCAAAACATCAACCTGAATAATATAAATTTAAATATGACTTTATCCAGAGGATAAGTGATAGTTCGAATTCTATGATATTTGCACATCTATCCTCTCATTCTCTTCGTGTCTCCACAACTTCACTTTCCGACTAATTACTTCATTTGCGCAACGGAAAAAAGACTATAATAAGCCAACAACAGCCACCGGGACATTGGGAGTAAACACAGTTAGACTATCAAACGACGGCCGGCAAAATCAAAATTACTAGCTTATAATTTTAAAAACGCCATAGTGTGTAAAATAGACATTCGTATACGTGCACCTACGTTTCAAAGTAAATATAGTTAATTTACTAACGAGCGAAGCTATTGCTTTGTATGGGACGACTGAAAGGCAAACAACTTTCGGCAACCGCAACGATCCGTTGCGGAAGAAAGAAAGGTAAATTGTTTAGGGAACACAACAAGAAGCGAACATGTGTTTATACTTGTTCGGTCTATGCTTAGGTCATGATACTGCACATGTCTCATGAACAAGGGATGAAAGAAAGAAAGGGAAAAAAAGGCGATGAGGCAACAAACTCCCGTTTTACACTTGTTCTTCCATTCGGCTACGATATGGACGCGGAAGGAGAGATCAAGACCCAAACAAAAAAAACATACACGCTACGATTCGGTTCATGAAAAGACGTTCCGTTCGTGAAGTGTATTTCCAAGTTTCCTTTTTTTCCCCAGCCTCCTCAATTTCTCACTTTACCAATCAAACCCAATCAAATGCGCAATCGCAACATGACGTGAACCCATCTCCCAAAACTCCTCCCAGTCAAACCCTCCCGATTCTCCCATGACAAGAAAAGCTATCATCATGCATTTCCTCATCCAAGCCAACAGCCCCAGAAAAACACGAAACATGAAACACTAAAAAGCAAAAATCCCCTCTAACACCCCCTTACTTTTTTTTGGAGGTTGGCCAGCCAAGCGTTCACTGCCTCAGACACACACACACACACGACGACTCTTAACTCACACTAGATGTTACTGGCCTTACTCACACATACTCCCCTTTACCCTTCCCCAAAACGGTACCACTACAAAGCACGCTTAGCCTTTTATTTCCTCCTCGATTCCGGGCACTTCCGCGTCCCGCATTGGTGATAAACTTCGGGGGGAGGTGGGGAGGAATATGAGCGCTCGCGCTCACGCGTGGGAAATCCATACACCCACACATACATATACGCGCGCATACGAGAGAACGGAGAGAGAGAGAGAGAGATAGAACCACACCCATACGCACCTTTCCACCTGCAAAACACCCCACCATAGTGCGTAAATCCTCCGCTATACTATACCATCCCATCCCATCCCATCCACGTCCACACTTCTTGCCGAGAACGAAACAATACATTCACAAAGGAGTCCGTAGTAATCGATTAGTTTCAAAAGTTCGTGTAAAAAAAAAGAAAAGGACGTATGTCTCATCTCTCTCTCTCTGTACTTGTGTAAAATAACTCCATGACTCTCTCTCTCTCTCTCTTTCTCGAACCCCCAAACCCCACGTGCAATTACCTTACGTAAAAAAGAACCCCAGGGAGAAAAGAGGAGAGGCGTCCATGCGCATGGCCATGGCCATGGCGTGACGGAAGGAAAATAAAAATTTAAAGGGATTTTTGGGCTTCTTTTCTTTTTGTTGAACTGTGTGCTGTGCGACCTCTGTGCGCACAAAAATAAATGGTCCGAAAGAGATGAGGTCATTTGAAGTTCAAAGGGGGGGGGGGTTGTTGCGATTGATAGCCCATGCAAGCACAACAACAGGGTAAAATGTGTCTTAATGCATTGAGTTATTAGTAGAGTCCCCTGGCCAAGGAAACTTTCCATCAAATGTTCATATTTTTATTTTTATTTTTCGGTAAAATAAAAGGATTCGTTATTGTCTACCACCCCCCATGCAGATTGAGAAACTAACCCGCCCAAGTTTACTCGATGCAAGTTCAAATGATCGTTAGGTTGACGCCGCTTCCCCCAACCATTTTTTGAGTTCCAACAAAAAACGCCCATGTAATGTGTATGACGGACGTGGTAAATGATTACTATAACGCCGCTCGCAATTCGTAAAGGCCAAGCAACCTGTTGCGGCGGGGCAAAGGAGAGAAAAGGAAAAAGGAAACAAAACCACAGTGGAAATATTCCATGGCGTCTTCAAAAATACATGCCATGTGCCCAAATGTAGTCCAGAAGCTCCAAGTTTGCAAAATGGTACATGATTAAAACAACGTAAAAATTTTGATGCAGCATGGTGCTAGCACATAGGGGGTGTGGTACGATGACCGTCGCAGCATGGCGGCGACGCGTACAACAGGGGTATTACGTCAGAGTAGAGCTATTGAGACAACAATATATCAAACTTGCTCCGTAAAGGCAGACTTCCGCGAGTCAGTCGATGGTCTCCGCTTCTTTTGGAGCTTCTTGGATGCTCTCCGCTCGGCGAGCTCAAGCTCCTCAAGGGTAGGCTCCTTGAAGGTGCCTGGTCGCAGAATCTCAAATCCAGAGTTGACTTTGCGGAGAACTTGCTCATTGCGGTCCTGATTCTGGTCCGTCATAACTTGGTAGGGGACCTGATCATAGCTGTACTGGTGGCTTGGGCCGTGCGGCTGGTAGGTATCGGGGTAGAATGGGGCATTAGGCGCGTAGGATTCGGTAAGAGGAATTGCTTGCCTGGCCTGGTTGACTGCGTGACCATCATGGCTAGGGCCAGAAGAGGACGCTACGATATCTTGAGATGGGTGGATACCAGTGGAAAGCGGGGGAGAGGGCGACTTCCGAGGCGTGAAGTAGTTGACACCGTTGAGCGTTGAAACCTGGTTCTCTGCGACGCTAGCCCATTCTCCGCTGTGGCCTGGCTTGCGAACACGGGGCATGAGCTGTCCAGTCTCGGCGACGTGGGAGAGACGGTGGCTTCGGAGAAGATCGAGATCCGTTTTTGGGTCGACGGTCCTGTGAGCGCCATTGGGTGGGAGGTATGCAGTCTCGTATGCGCGCACGTCCTGGTTAATAGCCATGTAGTCGGATTCATCACTGTTGCGGCTGCTCGACTTGGAAGAGGCTTCGACCTGTCCGAGAGGGCTGGTGCGAGCTGAGGGATGATTAGCATTGATTATAAGTTCTTCTGGTGAATACCTACATGGAGAAGAGGAACCAGACAAGTGAGCCGACTGAGAGACGTGGTGGTTGCAGTTGCTGCAGCGGGGTCCGTCGTGCTGGTGTCCGCGAGCGGGCGATGAAGAGCGCGATTCGGTGTTGGACAGTGGTTCAGCAGAGACGGCACGGTCAAATGAGCTTGGAGCGCGCGAGCTATTGCGGCTAGAGCCCTGGGCGACTGGTTGCGGGAGTTCGAGTTGCGAGTTGGTGCGAGGGAACTTTTCGCTCATGATAGAAGCGCGGCTGCTGCCAACGGGCGTGTTTGATCGTGAGATCCACACACCGTCGACCTCGATACCGCTCTGGATAGCACGGATGCCGAATGGGATCTCGTCCTTGGGATCTTCCGTTACTTGGGTCACAGGCTGCGCCTCGAGCATCTCGGGCGACTGTGCCCTCTTGCCCTTGTCGACCTTGCTGTACTTACGAAGCTTCCTCTTGTCAAAGGAAAGCTTGATGAAGCCAATGAAGATGGTGAGGACGATGCCACAGGCGAGAACCTGGAGACAGCGTGTTAGTGTGTCACTGACAGAAGCCGTTTGTGTCACTCACAAAAGTCATCTTCTGCCACAACTCCCAACTGGTGAAGAAGACGCCATCATCAGACGCCCCGAAA